CTTCTAAAATTTTCTTTGCAGCAGAATGTTCAGCGTTTCTAATTTTTTTTTCACCGTTTCCTACTTCACAAAAATAATTATTTTGATAATAATCTTCAACAATACATTTTATAAAGAAAATTCTGTTATGAGAAGGTCCTGTTTTATGATGAAGAGAGTAAATGGGTTTTGATAGATCGTATTCTGTTGTTAACTCTTCAAGGATTGATTTTGGATATTTTAAGGAATTCACTTCTCCTTTAGGAAAAGTCAAATGTGTAACAATTTCTAATTTTGGAAATGTTGTGTTAATGTGAGTTTTATTTAAAAACATAAAAAGATGTTACGATAAACTCGCAAGTACCTTCTCTAATTCGGCTATTATTGATTTTATCTTTTCCTTACATTCGAGTTTTGAGGATTCGAGCTCGGGAAGATTAGGGAATAATTCTCTTTGTATCTCTTCCCACTTGTGTGTTCAATAATTCTTTCTCTAAGTTTTTTACGTATCCTGATTTTTCTTGGGTCTTGATTCATGTGTACAAAAATATCGAACTCATTTGTTTAATACTTGGTTATCTACTTAACAGTAACTTAAATATTATTGGTAAAAAAAATATATCAACTTATTATACTAAGCTTATTTTAGTTCTTTTTACGAGTATTGAAACTCGAGCGTCAAAGAACAACTTAAACCTAGCTTAAAATTAATATTATGCAATAATATCGGAACTTAAAGGTAAGTGTAAATTATTAACTTATGATACTAAGTATAATTCAGTTCTTTCCTGTGAGTATTGAAACTGCAAACATTAAAGAAGCTGAATTAGTTCAGAAATTAGTTCTTTCCTGCGAGTATTGAAACTGCAAGCATTAAAGAACAACTTAAACTAACTTAAATTTAGCTTAATACTAATATCATGCATCAATATTGGAACTTAATTTTAGCAAAAAAAAATATTAACTTATGATATTAAGTGTAATTCAGTTCTTTCCTGTGAGTATTGAAACTGCAAACATTAAAGAAGCTGAATTAGTTCAGAAATTAGTTCTTTCCTGCGAGTATTGAAACTGCAAGCATTAAAGAACAACTTAAACTAACTTAAATTTAATTTAAGATTAATATCACGCAATAATATAATTAGTTTCTTTATTTAAGTGTCGAAACTCAAAGACTAAGAAACTACTTAAAATTAAACTTACAAATTAACTTAAAAATAAATCAAGCCTTAAATTAAAATTATATTATAATAACCAAGCAGTAGACAAACAAGGGTGTTAAATAAATTTTCATATGCAGTATTGTAATAAATAATTTTAAGTAATTATGAAAAATCAAAATACTTATTTAAAACTTTTAATGAATTCAGTGGTATGTGATAAAATGATATTCGTAGTTGATTATATTCTTCTTTTATTTGTGAATGGGATTAAAATGGATTATGATAAATAAAATAAAATTTTAAACAGGCACTCAAGATTTGAGCTGTTATGACGTTATTCTCAATTAAGGATAGAAGAAAAATATAGATTTAGAGTTATAGAAATTTTATTATCAGAATAGGTTAACTATAAAGGTAGGTATACAATGGTTAACTTTACCCAATACTTACAGTTGTTTTATCGGCGTGTATTCGCACAATTACTTAATATTACTTTTAAATGTTTTATTTAAAAGGCAAAACGTTTTAAAATGAGTTAGAAACGGGATTAAAACGAGTAGTATAGCTATGAGGACACCAGGACAGGTCGGTAAGGTAGATTCCTACATTATCAGTGGTTGGTAGGGTGCGCTCTACCTTACCGACCGAGTTAGTTCCGGCTGCCACCGCTAGATGGCGCCACTTGCAAATTCCAAACCCCTTTGGCGGGAAATTTAAAAATTTAATTTCAAACTTTCAAGTGGCTTAGAAGGGATGTTCTACTTTGCCGACAAGGTTCAAGGTTAAGCCAATAGATGGCGCCACTAAATTTTTAATATTAGTGAAAAAATTATTATTAATATTTATTTAAAAACTATTTATTTAATTAAGATAAGTTCAGTTAATTTTTTGTTTACTAATATTATTATTAATTTTTTGTTTACCAATATTATTATTAATTAACTATTAATTTTAATAGTTTATTATTAAACGTAAGTATTTATTACTTAAAACTATTTAAAAAATATTAATTGTAAACATTTGTTTATTATTAATATTTATTTACAAACTATTAATTTAATTAAGGTAATTTCAATTAATTTTTTATTTACTAATATTATTATTAATTATTTATTAATTTTAATAGTTTATTATTAAAGGTAAGTATTTATTACTTAAAACTATAAAGTATTGTGTGAAATCAAATTTAAAAATTCGCGCCAAGAACAATTTGGACAAAATTGGTTTGTAATTTCCACACTTTTCTGCTTGTTTAATGTGTGGCGGGAATTTTTAAATTTGATTTCACATAATACTTTAAATTTATTATTTAATATATTTATTAAGTAATTTTATACCTAATATTGTAAAAAGAAAACATTAAAAATTTTAATTATTAAAAAAACATAGTTCATCATTAAAAAATTATAACAATTGTAAATATTGTGAAAGGATGAGGTTTTATATTGAATATAACGCCCCTGAGATACAACGACCATGTTTCCTGACAACCTAACCTTTACTATAGAAATTCAGTGACATTATCATCATGGTAATCTAATTTTTCTACTTTATTATTATTATTATATTATTATTAATTATATATATATATTTGTAGTATGTATGTATTAATATATTCTTGTTTTGTACAGAATTCCAAAATAATAAAAATTTATTGTTTCTGTGGAGAAGAGCAGTGCAAATATCGAGCTCTGCAAACAGAAATTGTAAGTTCAATTTATTCTCAAATTCTAAATAAATTTGCAACTTCATACCAATGTTAATTAGAGTCTTTATTTTGTGAAAAAAAACACCAGTGACAAGTATTGAATCGAAGTGAAATTCTTAAATTGTTTATTTTGTGAAAAAAAAACACCAGTGACAAGTATTGAATCGAAGTGAAGTTCTTAAATTGTTTATTTTGTGAAAAAAAACACCAGTGACAAGTATTGAATCGAAGTGAAATTCTTAAATTGTTTATTTTGTGAAAAAAAAAACACCAGTGACAAGTATTGAATCGAAGTGAAGTTCTTAAATTGTTTATTTTGTGAAAAAAAACACCAGTGACAAGTATTGAATCGAAGTGAAATTCTTAAATTGTTTATTTTGTGAAAAAAAAACACCAGTGACAAGTATTGAATCGAAGTGAATTTCTTAAATTATTTATTTTGTGAAAAAAAAAACACCAGTGACAAGTATTGAATCGAAGTGAAATTCTTAAATTGTTTATTTTGTGAAAAAAAACACCAGTGACAAGTATTGAATCGAAGTGAAGTTCTTAAATTGTTTATTTTGTGAAAAAAAACACCAGTGACAAGTATTGAATCGAAGTGAATTTCTTAAATTGTTTATTTTGTGAAAAAAAAACACCAGTGACAAGTATTGAATCGAAGTGAATTTCTTAAATTGTTTATTTTGTGAAAAAAAAACACCAGTGACAAGTATTGAATCGAAGTGAAGTTCTTAAATTGTTTATTTTGTGAAAAAAAACACCAGTGACAAGTATTGAATCGAAGTGAAATTCTTAAATTGTTTATTTTGTGAAAAAAAAACACCAGTGACAAGTATTGAATCGAAGTGAAGTTCTTAAATTGTTTATTTTGTGAAAAAAAACACCAGTGACAAGTATTGAATCGAAGTGAAATTCTTAAATTGTTTATTTTGTGAAAAAAAAACACCAGTGACAAGTATTGAATCGAAGTGAATTTCTTAAATTATTTATTTTGTGAAAAAAAAAACACCAGTGACAAGTATTGAATCGAAGTGAAATTCTTAAATTGTTTATTTTGTGAAAAAAAACACCAGTGACAAGTATTGAATCGAAGTGAAGTTCTTAAATTGTTTATTTTGTGAAAAAAAACACCAGTGACAAGTATTGAATCGAAGTGAATTTCTTAAATTGTTTATTTTGTGAAAAAAAAAACACCAGTGACAAGTATTGAATCGAAGTGAATTTCTTAAATTGTTTATTTTGTGAAAAAAAACACCAGTGACAAGTGTTGAATCGAAGTGAAATTCTTAAATTGTTTATTTTGTGAAAAAAATTCCAGTGATAAATTTAGAGGTTATGTGCCAAAGTGAATTTCTTGAAATCTTTATTTTGTGAAAAAAAACACCAGTGACAAGTGTTGAATCGAAGTGAAATTCTTAAATTGTTTATTTTGTGAAAAAAATTCCAGTGATAAATTTAGAGGTTATGTGCCAAAGTGAATTTCTTGAAATCTTTATTTTGTGAAAAAAAATACCTGCACTGAAAAAAAAATTCTGTAATTTTACTGGCTACGTATGTGCGGAAAAAAACCTATGCTGTGTGTGTCATTTTTACATTTTTTCTGTATTTTCACTGTATAAATAGGTTAATATTCAAGAAGATTTGTTAATATTGTACAAAATTATGGAGCGATTTTAAATTGCACTGTAAAATTCCTATTCAAAATGAAATTTACATACTCGGTATGCGAGGCAAAAAACCAATGCTCAGTAGAGTGAATTCACATTCGGATTGGAATTTTACAGTGCAATTTATTAAGTGTAGTAAGATCAGATAATTTTGTAAAATAATATTTACAGAATCATGTAATTATACTGTTTTAAACAGTAAAATTCAGACCTTTTTTTTTACAGTGTGTGATACATTTAGAGGTTATGTGTCAAGTACATTTCTTAAATTGTTTATTTTGTGAAAAAATACCTGTGATGCATTTAGAGGTTATGTGCCAAGTAAATTTCTTAAATTGTTTATTTTGTGAAAAAAAATACCAGTGATAAATTTAGAGGTTAACTTTAGGATAATAATAAGATCATTTAATAATATTTTCCTTATAATATAATTTAAAAATATAATTTTTTTAGAATGAAATTCAAAGGGCAATCGATAGAATGCGTGAGATGAGTTACGACCCTTCACACCCGGAGATGTTCATCAGGAGAGCACGGCGCTGGGATCAGCTGCCACCTGACCAACAATCAGTTGTAGAACAATCGGTTGTGAAAGACGGCTGGATCCGTCAAAGAACCGCACCAAAATTGACGACATCATGTCAACCGTCTGAAATTTGTTTGCAACCTCCTGCACAACAAATTCCAGATTTTATGGAGTCGGAGAAACATCCTCCTCCAGTAAAACGTCGTGTAGCACACGTATCAACGCTCCACCAACCATCTCAGGCTCCAACGCCATCATCATCTCGTGCTCCGATTCCGTCACCTCGTGCTCCGATTCCGTCATCTCGTGCTCCGATTCCGTCACCTCGCGCTCCAAAGCCACCACCTCATGCTCCGATTCCACCACCTCGCGCTCCGATTCCGTCACCTCGTGCTCCAACGCCATCATCATCTCGCGCTCCAAAGCCACCACCTCATGCTCCAACGCCATCATCATCTCGCGCTCCAAAGCCACCACCTCATGCTCCGATTCCACCACCTCGCGCTCCGATTCCATCACCTCGTGCTCCAACGCCATCATCATCTCGCGCTCCAAAGCCACCACCTCATGCTCCAACGCCATCATCATCTCGCGCTCCAAAGCCACCACCTCATGCTCCGATTCCACCACCTCGCGCTCCGATTCCGTCACCTCGTGCTCCGATTCCGTCACCTCGTGCTCCGATTCCACCACCTCGTGCTCCAACGCCATCATCATCTCGCGCTCCAAAGCCACCACCTCATGCTCCGATTCCACCACCTCATGCTCCAACGCCATCATCATCTCGCGCTCCAAAGCCACCGCCACGTGCTGCTTCAGCTGCAAGGAGATCAATTCTCATTCCTCCTCCACCACTAAAGGGAACTTTGCGCCAACGATTGCGGCAGTCCCTTAAAATGTTAAGATAAATTCATCTTTTTTTCTCAATTGTCTTCACACTAAGTTTTTTTTGTCGAACATTAAGTTCAAAGCTTTTTTAGAATATGTTTTTTTTGTTAAACATTACGTTCAAAGGTTTGATATACTAAGTTTTTTTTTTGTCGAACATTAAGTTCAAAGCTTTTTTTAGAATATGTTTTTTTTGTTAAACATTACGTTCAAAGGTTTGATATACTAAGGTTTTTTTAGAGTCGAATATTAAGTTTTAAGCCTTATTTATAATATGTTTTTTTGTTGAACATTATGTTCAAAGCTTTTTTTTATTCTTAGTTTTTCCTTTTTTAATCAAACGCTTCACCATTTTTGTTTTGATTTTCAATACTTTCTGCATGTTTTCTTTGATTTTGTAAGTTTGTTCCAATTGTTTATGTTCATTTTTTTCTTGAAAACCTACATATGTAAAAAAAAGTTTTTTTTATTTTATATATAAAGATATATATCTTTATTTTGTACATATGTATATTTTCATATAATATATATTTAATAACTTTCGGTAATGGACTTTTGTTTTATTTTCACATGCTTTGAAATTTAGTTTAGTTGCATGAGTTTTCTTTATTGTTTATTTAACTATAATTTTATAAAAATTTTGTTTTATACTTTAATCCTATTCTTGCATTGGTTAAATAATAATATGGGTAATTAATTGTTATAATCTAACTTTGTCTTAAAGTTAAATTAACAATAATTTAGCTCAAATTCAATTTAACTGTAATTTAAAATTTACTTTACATCAATTTAACTTTTATGTAATATTATTTCAATTGTTTAATTACAAGATAATGCTATAATTATTTTTGCTTAATACTAAATATTTCTAACTTAATGCTAATGAGGGTATTTAATTAAATACAGTGTTAATAACATTTCATACATTTATTATACTCAATATACAAAATTTACACTTGTTTTATTTTAAATTCAATATGGTTGTATGGACCACCAATATACTTCAGCCGCAATTGTCCAGAACTAATAGCTTCTTGCATCTGATCCAAGCATATAGAGTCATCAGTGAACATTGGTACAAATCTTGAAGGTAGGAATGTATTGAACTTTTTATCCACCTCAACGACGACCTTGACTCCATACCTGGTGTTGACAACCTGGATCTTCGTTATAGGATACTTATGTCCAGGAGTCAGCTCGGATAGCGGCTTCGTAGGTAGGAAAGCATCCATGCGACCAATGGCGTTGATTTTGGTTAGATCCATCTTTTCTTAGAGATAATACTTTGTGAAGTTACAAAACAGAATGAGCTTTACAGCTCAAGGTGCCTCTATTTATACTCAAATATCACGCATTACCCCCACCATTAATTCTGCACATGCGCATTACCCCCACCACTAATTCTACGCATGCGCAATAGCGTTTTATGTTTGTAAAATACCCCCACTTTTTATTATTGAGCCACGCCCACTTTGTGACGTCATAAGACAAGTCTAGACTAGTTTTAACATGTTTAATAGTTTTACACATGTGTAATAAAGATAATAGGATAGGGAAAGGTTAATTAAAGTAAACATTAATAGACATTTAATACATTTATTCATTATATAGGAAATTTTCACAATCATTATAAAAATCTTTCAATGTACAATCATTGTCAACTTCATCATTATTTTCTATATTATTTCGTAGTACATTCGATGGTTGTATCAACCAATTTCGTAGATTACATACATTTTTCACAGCACAGTTGCTAAAGCTACGTGTGTGATTTGTACATGTAGATGAACTATCTACACTTAAACTTTTTAGCGACGGACATTTAAAATCATCTAAATTAAACACATTTAATGTATATTTTTCTAACCATTTTTGTTTTTCTAAACCTTTTACATAAACAGTAGGTGTACCTATTAATACTTCTTTTATTATAGGTTGTAATTCTTCATAAGATACGTCACCAGCAGCCCAATCGATACCATGATAATTATTTGTAAGCCATCGATTCTCACATTTGTATCTTGCAGGCAATCGACTCCAGGCATATGGCGGCTCGAAGAGGTAGACCAATGGATGAGCATCTTGTTGAAGTGGTAGAATCGCCAACTCTTTGATGACAAACTCGTTGTATGGTCTCTTGAAGCACTGAATATCTACGACGTACGCCATGGTATCTGAAATAGAATAATAGCTCAAGCCTTAGAGAGACGCTCTCTTTATAGCCTTCCCCCCACCCACTCCAAATACCCCCACTACCAATGTCGTCTATGATTGGTCAATATTTCCACCAATCACGTTACTTTTTTAACAACACCGCTGATTGGTGTATACTGTATAATGCGGTCGTGAATTATAAGGCAATATGCAGCTGTATTGGCTGGAAAATTTACACTTGCTTCAAATTCCAATCGCACATCTACAGATGCTTGCTTCAGAAATTCATTTTGTTTTGAGCAATCAATAACAGCCAATGGTGCATAATCTTTAAAGTTATTTCTAGTTAATAAAGGTTCAGATTCTTTTCCATAGTAGGATGGTTGAAAATTACAATACATTTCATATAGTATGGAAAATTTGTTTTGAGTAAAATTTAAATTTAAATCTCCATAAGGATAGTACTGTGAGTTTAAGAAAAGTTTAACATTGAGAAGATTACAGGTATCAAATAAATTTGCATACCTTCCTTGATCTTCTTTTCGATTTGTTTGAAAACCAAGAATAACATATCGAGGTTTTTCAACTTGTGTTGAAGTTTTTACAGTCCACACGTGCTTTTGAGTGGCAGGAATCATAGGATACTCATACAAATCCCATGATCTAAAACTCATTGTTATAAGTGAGTCTTTTTCAATGAATTTCAATAATTCAATTTTTTGGCGATCATTTACCATTAAATATGGAATTAACCATTCAATTTTATTAATTATAATTCTAAATTCTTCACGCTCAGCTACTCCAATGTTTACTACAGCATTGAGATCAGTACGAGATCTTGTTAAAATAAGTTCATGTTTTGCATTTACAACAATCTTTCGATAGTCTTCAGCAAAACCAATAATCATACTTAGTGGAATATTTACATCAAAATATCCAGCATCATTTGTTACTCTAGTATCATCATCATAAGGTAGATAACCAGCATTTTCAGAGTAAATCATTTGATTAGGTGTTTGAGAAATTAGATTTTTCATTGTGGTTGTAATACCAACATTTTTAGAGCGATCAATTTCAACACCATTTAATTCATAACGAATCTCATTAAACAGGTAGGAAATACCATTGCTAATTAACTTTGTATTAGTTACAAGCGTATTGTTTGGCTTAACAATTCTGCCAGTGACGTGTAGAGTACTTTTAGAGGGAAGAATGTACAAGTCTTGATGTTGAACTGCAATTCGAATCTCGTCACTGTTATTAAATGCTGATGACACGTATGGTTGATGTGCATGAATCTCATAGTGTGCCACAGAATTATCAAATTTAACTGGACTTAGAATGTTTAAAATTTCTTCCATTTTTGTTACAACAACAAATAAAAAGTATGTGAAAAATTAATTTTTTCCCTTGTTTTCTTGATAAACTCTTAGGCCGAGCTGCTTCAGAAATATTATGTTCTGAGATGTTAGTCTCTTGCGAACTGATTGAGGACTGAATGACTTCTGACATGGCAACTCTTTTATATAGCTTCCACCAGTTTTTCTATGAAATACAATTCCCATTACGTTGATTTAACGTGTAATCGAATTGTTATAGTTTCACCTCTAAAATTTATTAAATCTCCGTCTTGATCAACGATTCTTACTTGAATATTATGTATTGTCTTCACGGCGATTGGAAGGTAAATGACGTGAGATGGAACTTCCACAATCTTATATCCAGCTGGAACAATTGGAAAAAATTCGTGAATTGTGTGTACCTTTTTATTATTTATGTATGCACCAGTAGTAATGTTACATTCAATTCTGATAGCATTTACCTTAAGAATGGCTACTGGTACATCTGACGTATGAGGCTTATTAGCTGTCAATATTCGTGGAGTAAATCCTAATAATTTACCAATTGAATCGTTTTGTTCAAAACTCACTTCAAGGCTGCTTGTTATTTCACTACGTAAAGTATTATTGTTAGGTTTGATTCTTACAATTTCAGATCCATTTTCAATAGAGTTTTGAATATATTTTTCAATATCTTCAATTTCATAGCTTCCAGGGGGTATAGTAATCACTTTATCACCAATATAAAATTTATTTTTACCTTGATCAATATTAGGAATTGAATTGAAGGTTAGTAATTCAACTAAGCCAAGTACATAATTTTTGTTAGATAATAATTCTATCGGAGGAAAATATTCTGCCTCCAGGACAGATGAATTACCTGAGATAGTCAGAGTAAAAGATTCTTCCATGTTGATGACTTTTTATAAACTGATTAGCTGGAATGACTTACAATCACTTATATAGAATATATTTTTGAGTTATTTCAAGCTGTCCACATAAGAATTTTAGACATAAATGACCACAATTAAAGCTATTATAATCTTGATAATTTTGATGATTATACTGTATTAAAGTATTGTAACCTAAGTAATTGACAAGTTCATAGGGTGGTTGAAGATTACCAAAACTATCAAAGTATACTGCTTTATTATTAACTTTTTTATATGCAACCCAATGAGTTCCAGAACCATCTTTATCATCTAAATTAATAATGGCGGATTCACTTTTTCGAGGACCACTTATAGGTAGTTCATTTCGCATAAAAACTCCTCGAAAATTGGAAATTTTCATTTCTTTAGCATATTTAAGTAAATCTAGATCTGTAAGTGCTCGTTGAGGTAGCTTTAAACTTTTTTTTTCGTACATCGTCTTTTAATACCTTGTCCTTTAACGTATGGTTTCAAATGAAGTCCCAAACCTTGTCGGTATGGTTTTAAATGTAGACCTTTACCAAGTGCAACTGCTTCCAACTCTCTATTATGACGCTGAGCTTCCTTCAACTGCTCTTTTGCTGCACTTGCATC